CCTCCGGACGCCGAGACGCCGCCGGCCGCTCGCCCCAGCTTCACCTCCTTTCAGAATTTAAGTGCTCTTGAACTTCCATCCGAAAACTGCCAGACGTCCGGGGCTCCCTGGGCGCTGCGCCAGCTGGGGGGGTACGCCGAACCTACAGAGAGCATGGGGACAGAGGAGAGAACAGGTGTGACATGGCCCACGGTGCGAGTTATTCTCTTATTTTACTTTTTTTTTGTCTGGGTTTTTTTTTTTCCGTTAACAACTAGGACGCCCAACTGTCGCAAAGGGATACGGCAGGACGGAGCCCTTCCTCCTCTCAGGCCGCACTCTCGCGTCCGGCATCGCTCGGCACCGCACAGGAACCACAGGGATCGTTTAGGAGGAGAAACCTCTGGGCTTTACTGAGAAACCCGCGCTGCGCCAGGAGCTCTGTTTGGGCAAGGACCGAGCCAGCCTGCCTGAAAATTTCCTCCTATTCCTTCCCAAAACCTCAGGGGCTTCCCCCAGCACCCACGGTGCATCTGGGTGCTGAAGACCCTCTTAAAGCCATCGGTACTGTTAATACGCCACGCGGCGGGTGGTTCATGGAGGGCTTTCCCCAACTCGTTACATGTGGGATATCGCACGGCATGCAAGCGCACACTGCAGCAGCGAAGCTCGAGCTGCAAAGCCCCAGCCCGTGCCCAGCGAAGCGCGCGGGCAACTCGCCATTGACTCTGGCAGCGCGAGACGGGGCGCCGGGACAGCAAACGTCCCCGGCTCCGCTTACACGGAGAAGGAGAGCGGCTGCGAGCCCCCGCTTTCGAGGCCGATCACCAAGCACCGCGCTACCCCGAACGGCAGGCTAAGGGCTACACCGCAGGTGGCGGCGGTGGCAAGGCCGGCGCATCGTCAGCACACCCCTCAGAATCCACCTCCGCACACCCAACCGGGGAGCCGGTTTCTATGGAAATTGTTTCGTTAATACTTAAGAGAGAGGTTGAAGGGCTACACGCGAGCTGCCGTCAGGACTAAATAAGCAGCTCCTAGGCCAGATCTTCACCAGGTGCAAACTGGAGTGTCTCCCCCGAAGTCAAGAGCACGTGCCCGGTGTCCCCCCAGGGAGGGCTCATTGCTGCTCGTGTCTGAGCCCGACAGGTTTCAGGCTGACGTTAAAGCTGGCTGAGACTTTCAAGGGAGCCAAGAGCGCCGCAGCCATCCCAGCCAGGAGCCGTACCAGCACACCGGCACTGCGAAGCGTACGTCCCGCCGAGGGGCAC